TCTGACACTCCCTCCCGCCTCACCCAGGTGGGAGCAGTCATTCGATGATTTTCCTCCCTTAAAAAAAGGCATAATAGTCTAGGAGCTACTGAACTCTTTGTATAAAGTTTGTCTGTCTGTTGCACTTACAATAATTATATTTCGTGTTTTATAATAGTGTTTGAAATGTGACATCACAAAGTTTAGGATCCCTCCCCCTTGTCACACAATGTCACACTGCGTCGACCCCCTCCCTACCCCTTAACGTGTGACGTAATTTATGGACGGCCCCTAGCAGTCATAAACCCTGGACATCATCATCTTTTTTAAAAACATGAGGATGTCATGGTCTCGCTTTCTTTCCGTACATTTAGCGGTCACTGCTGACCAAATACCTCTTCTCACATGGAGAAGGTTTGACCATTAATTCGTGATTAATGCTCAATGCGGGTTGGCGATTTCAAACTTATAATTAGAAATTATAAGCCCAGGTTTCCTCACGATGTTTTCCTTCACGGTTTGTCTATATAACTCGGAAATGCCACATTGGTACTTGCCGTAAATATGGTGATGTTTCACAAACACATTTTTTTAAGTGTGGGAGAGCCATGCTTCGGCACGACTGAGGTTACCGGAGGCCCCCTTCCCCAATCTCCCCAATCCCCGAATCCCCAATAATCCTCAAACTCCTAATCCACAAAAGGCCGATAACGCACTTGTAACGCTTCTGGTGTTCCAGGTGTCCATGGGCGACGCCGATTGCTTACCATCAGGTGATCCGTCTGCTCGTTTACGACATATGCCATAAAAACACCGACACAGAAAATCATTATTTTTGTTTGTGTGATAAGTCGGAAAACGAGTAGACGGATCACCTTATGAGAACCTATTGTCGCCCATGGACACCCGAAACACCAAATTCGTTATAAGTGCGTTACCGGCTTTTAGGGATTGTTGGGGGTTAGAGGATTAGGGAGGGAGGTAATTTTGCCTCCGGTAACCTCACTCACACGACGACAGACTACACAAGCATTGTTTCACGTCGGTTTTCTGCTCGGCCGTGGTGTCACTTCGTTGGAGCCGGCCCATTCGTGCTGAAGCATGGCTCTCCCACACTTTGATGACGTGAAACTTCGATGCACTGCTTGCCGTGTTCCTATCACATTCAAATCATGTTAAAATAGGAAGTAGGTTAGTGTGGAAATACGAACAAACGTACACACATATATTATATACGAGTATTTACTTGGGCTGACCTCTAGCCCTGATAGCGCGTGGCCAAATCGTGTCAATGTACTTCAATGTATCATTTTACATTCATTAACATAGCATTGTTTGAACAAGAAGAGCAAGTGGTCTTGGGCTTGTTTATAGCTTAGGAAATGTATGTAGATGTTTTTCGTAAAAACTGCACAACAAGTGTCATAGTAAATGTTTATGTTAGGGAAGCATATTTTCCGCGCGCGTCTCAAAGAGCCATCAGACCACCACATATGGGGCCCAGTAGGGCTGATGCCCGATACGGAGCCGCGGAAGGCCTAACGGGTTGCCGGGGCTCCGGCTCGAAGAGCAGGAGAAGGAACGGGGTGGTTTTTAGTCAGTAAGAGTCTGACACTCCCTCCCGCCTAACCCAGGCGGGAGAATTCATTGGGTGATTTTCTCCCCTCAAAAAAAGGGAAGCATAAATCTTTCGTGAGACCCGCGACGCGGCGCAACGACCGCGTGCTGATACAGCAGCGCGACAGACGCCGCGTCGCGGGTCGCGGAATGCTGCTCATGAATATGAGCCTCTAGCATGGCTTGAAACTAGTCAAGTTCCTCGTCAAATAGTCACGCGAGGAAGCCGAAAACACATATGCTATGAATTTGGGATAGCTGTGTCTAAAACAATATCATTATTGTGTATTTGATGATTAGAGCTGGTCAATAAACTAATAAAGTAAGATAATTTTAAAAAGGAAATTAGGTCAAGTCATTATCATCGTACATCAACATAAATGTCCACTGCTGAACAATGCCCCATCTCACACGGAGAAGGTTTGAGCATTAATCACCTTACGCAATGCGAATTGGCGGTGTCAAACTAATAATTAGAAAGTATAAGCCCAGGTTTCCTCACGATGTTTTCCTTCACCGTTTGTCAGTGGAGTCTAAATAATCTTAGAAAGTACATATAACTCGGTAAAAGTCACATTGGTACTTGCCGTTAGTAGGTTTCGAACTCGCACCCTCATGCATAAGAAGCAGGTGTCTTCAACCTCCGAGCCATCATGACACCACATTTAAGTTAAGTTCGTTACTTTTTTTAGAGAGGTTTAGACTTACCGTGGGCGTCATTTTGAAATTAACACTAAAAGTTAAATAGGTATTCGAATAACCGTTCATTTCTGCCTACCCCTTTGTTTGACAATAATATGGGAAGAGTCTTTTCTACAACCCAAAAGAGGTATTTTTATGGTATTTTTTATTGGTGCAAGCCCGCCACAACCTCCCAAAACCGCTGCAACTCCTGTAAGCCAGGATCTACAGTAGATACAACCATGAAAACACCAGAACACTGAAGTCCGTCCCAGAGACATAAATGTCTTGGTTCCCGCAACGAAATGAATAAGAAGATAAGAGTAGAAGAAAAAAAATCTATAGTTTCCACTTCCCCCGGTGAATTACTGCAGGAGACAGAATGAATTAAGCCTAACGGCACAAAAAAGAGACTGTACAACTGGATGAAACCCAGTCGCCAAGCACCACGGAAATTTGACTAAAAACTAAGTGGGTCCTATGTGTGAGCTGTTATACTTGCTTCCAATGATAGGTCGATCAAGCGATTTGGGTCAAAAACCACAGCTATTTTCAACAACGCTAGTTTGTGAAACAAGAAAATTAAAAGAAGCCTTCCATTTGACAATCTTTACGCTTGACGGGTAGGAGGTCTCGGTATAAATGGTTCAGGTTTATCAGAGAGCGCAGCTGCCCGGTCTCTGTCTAATGTGTAGTGCCTTAGTCGGGTATACGACACCCGCGGGAAGACAAATGTAATACAATCACACTATATATAAATGTGAAAGTTTCTTTGTTTGAAAGTTCGAATGTTTGTCCGTCAATCACGCTGAAACTACTGAACGGAATTTGATGTTTTTTTTTATAGCATAAGCCGGTAAACGAGCATACAGATCACCTGATGGTAAGCAATCGGCGTCGCCCATGGACGCTTGGAACATCAGAGGCGTTACAAGTGCGTCACCGGCCTTTTGGGGGATTAGGAGTTTGAGGATCGTTGGGGATTCAGGAATTGGGGAAATTGGGGAAGGGGAGGGTAACCTCACTCATACGAAGAAACACAACGGAAGCGTTGCTTCACGTCGGTTTTCTGTAAGGCCGTGGTATCAATCCGGTCGAGCCGGCCCATTCGTGACGAAGCATGGCTCTCACAAACTTAATGTAATGAAATTTGGTATACAGGCAGGGTATAGGCTGACTTAGGTGATAGGAGACTTTTATCTCGATTAAATGCTCCTATGGGATGAAACAGGAATCATATTCTACGCGCATGAAGTCGCGGGCAACAGATAGAAATAAATCAATTTAATGTCTGTCTTTCAATAAATCATTTATAATATAATTACCTATACATTATTATTTGTTTGACCTCTAAATACAAAGAAATATTGGTTTTTTTTACTGATAACCGACAGATCATACGATGATGTTTATTAAACTTTAAAATAAATAAGTCTCGTTTATCGAGTCAAATGGCCAAATCGTAAAGCCCCTGCGGACGGCGAGCACGCGTAGCTCGTCGCCCGACCGGAATCAGGGTGCTTGCTACTTAAAACCAATTTCAATGTCAATGTAATGAAAACTCAATAATTATTAAATGTCAAAACTATATAACCCCTATCGTAGCTGTTAAAATAGCATTCAGAGTACGGAATATAAAGCCAAACTCAATACCATTTAGTTCATTCAATATCCACGCAATACGGATGCAATGGGCGCTAGTGTTGCAACTCAAGAGTACGAAATTTCACAATATCAATGTCGATCGATCGGAATTGGATTCAGGAGTAAGCAGTCAGACCTGAGCGTACGGCGTGTCGCGTTCCATGCTCGCCTCAAAAACCTATCAGACTAGATGGGATCCAGTAGGACTGATACTCGAAGCGGAATCGCGGAGAACTTAATGGGTTACCGAGGTTCCAGCTTGAAGAGCAGGTGTAGAAACGGGGTGTTATTTAGTCAGTAGGAGTCTGACACTCCCTCTCGCCTCACCCAGGCGGGAGAAGACATTCGATCATTTTCCCCCCTTAAAAAAAATTGTTAAGTCCTCTGCGGCTCCGTATCGGCATCAGCCCTATTGGCCCCATCCGTGGTGCTCTGATGGCTCTTTGAGGCGCGCACAGAACGTTCGGCGCCGTACGCTCGGGTCTGGTTCTGGTTGGGCGGTTAGCCACCCATACTCGCCGTACGCAGGCCGTTGCTTACGAAGGACACTCCGGGGGCCGGAGATCGTCGAGCGATCCCCGACGCCCGGAGTGTCCTTCTAGATGGCTGCGTTATTTCGTGACCATATAAGTCACTTATACTCCAACGGACATCATAAGTGCATAATTACAAAATATACTACAAGTAACTGATAATTACCGATTAATAATTGTACCTGCTGACGTCTATCACATATTGTGCTCAGATGAGCATGAAAACTGACCTTCAGAGCTGGACTTGGATCTTCAGTAATTAGTATTTATGCTACTTATGTCTTAGTAACAAGAATTAGAAATCTATACCTATTTTATATTGTCGCGGAGAACCTAACGGGTAACCGGGGCTTCGTCTCGACGTGCAGGAGAAGGAACGGGATGGTTTTTAGTCAGTAAGAGTCTGACACTCTCCCGCCTCACCCAGGCGGGAGAAGTCATTTGATGATTTCCCCCCTTAAAAAAATCCCTTTGGGAATAAAAGGCGTAATGTTATGTGTAAGATTCTATATTTACAGAATATACATCTAATTTCCTTTGTTTCAGTATTGCTCCTGATTTCTACGACGTTCGTTCTGAGTATGATTGGAACGATATTCTTTTGTTTTACGAATACAATCAACGACGCCATACTCTCAGTAAGTATATTGTAATTAATAATCACGTTTTTACCAGGTCCACCTGTAACGAACTATTTAACAAAATGTATATCTTTTTTTTATGGTATAAGCCGGTAAACGAGCAGACGGATCACTTGATGGTAAGCAATCGGCGTCGCCCATGGACACACGGAACACCAGGGGCGTTACAAGTGCGTTACCGGCGTTTTGGGATTATGAATTTGAGGATTGTTTGGGATTCAGGGATTGGGGAAAGGGGGGGGAGTAATTGGGCCTCCGGTAACCTCACTCACACGACGAAACACAACGCAAGCGTTGCTTCACGTCGGTTTTCTGTGAGGCCGTTGTATCACTCCGGTCGAGCCGGCCCGTTCGTGCCGAAGCATGGCTCTCCCACACTGTTGTGATTCATATGCTTGTTTACCGACTTGTGCCATAAAAAAAAAATGACGAGGACGAATTAATAGCGTGTTTTCCGTTCTTAATACGACCATTATGTGTCATGAATTATATTCCCCATAACAATGAATAGAGGTCAAATACCTTTGCATATTTTGATGGTGTTATTACGAAACCCATACATTATGTAAGAAGGTGTGAACTTTGTATCGAACCTTGGGTCACTTACTTGATGGACACCTTGTCAATTCATTTTATTTTGATTAGTGTCTAAAAGTGCTAAAGACTGTAAAGGCGACACACGTACTTAGGTATCGTCATGAGCTAATGTTCACATGTAAACAGCAGCTCATGTAGTGTAGATGTCCAGTCAACAAGGATGTAGCGAGGTTGACTGTCCAGGCGACACAGGTACTTAAATATCTTTGTTTTGTTCACAGAGCATGGTGATTCGGAATAACTCTTTAGCGTTCAAAATATGGAAGCGGCCAGATGTACAGCCTCATATGAAGGTGCATATCTTCAATTATACAAACTGGGAGAGAGTGAAAGACGGACTGGATAAGAAATTGCACGTGGAAGAAGTTGGACCATACGTTTACTCGTAAGTCGTAGTCGTAGTCGTAAGTCGTAGTCGTAACTCGTTATCTATCTTAATATTGTGCTTTTAGACTCAATTCGTTCTGTCTCCTGCAGTAATTGCCGATGGAGGTGGAAAGTATCGTCTTTTTCTTCTCCTCTTGTATTGTCTTCTAATTTATTTCGTTGCGTCGCGTTTGTATTTAAGACAGTTATTCATGTTCCTGGGACACGCCGGACTATAGTGTTCCGGTGTTTTCTTGATTGTACCTACTGTAGATCCTGGCTTACAAGAGTTGCAGCGGTTTTGAGAGGCTGTGGTGGGCTTGTCCCATAAAAAAATATTATAAAACTAATAATGTTACACCTTTGTATCATTTCATCAATATCGTCAGCCTATAAGTGGTCACTGCTAACCAAAGGCCTCTCTCACACGGAGAATATTTGAGCATTAATCACCACGCTTGCTCAATGCGGGTTGGCGATTTCAAACGTATAATTAGAAATTAAAAGTAAACAAAAACGTATTAGATTAAGAGCCACCGTCTCTTGAAACAACGACTGTGGCACCTGGCTACTATAGACTTACACGCAGAATACACACACATTGACACGAAGGACATCTGTCGCAAGACATGGCCCGTCATTACACTTCATATATTACGGTGTTCCATATACACTCAAGTAACCAGACCACCACAGATGGGGCCCAACAGGGCTGATGCCGATACGGAGCCACGGAAGACTTATCGGGTTACCGGGGCTCCGGCTCGTGCGGGAGTAGGAACGGGGTGTTTTTAGTCAGAAAGAGTCTGACACTCCCTCCCGCCTCACCCGGGCGGGAGAAATCATTGGATGATTTTTCCCCTCAAAAAAAAGACATACTGGAGTCTCTATCAAGTTTTTACGTTCCAGACAATTACTGGCTGGGTAAAAAGCACAGATTGTTTGCCGTGCCCTCATGTCGTACCGTAGCACGTGCTAAAGCACCAATTCCTGGCACTCTGGCCGCGCTCAATGGTCTCTTGGATTTCAATCCAACTAGTGATCTGTTTGCGGACGGACGGAAGGAGATTTTATCCCAATGCCTGAAGTACTGCGAGAGGAACTTATGAATGCTATCATTTTTTAAAATAAGTTTTACTCTTCTTGTTCGTTGTGTATGTTTTATTCTAGTTTTATTATTTCATCATTTATTTTATTCATTTAGTTTTTTTCAACCGTTGTGACTGTAAATAAATACACCATTGACATTTCGGTGCTCTCTTTACCCGTGAAGAAAGAATGATTGTCTAATAAGCATTTGTATGTATAGTATAGAATAGATACTCGTCGTGTTCTGAACTGTGCCCCTACGAAGCATAATATTAATTTTAATTATAAGTTGTATATATTTAATTTAGTAATATTTAGTTTTAATTTTATTTATGTAATAGTTGTTATTTAAGTTTTTTATTCACAAAATAAACATGCAAGTCCTACGAAGCATAGAACATATGATATTGCGGTATCATTTCCGTCCGCTATCATGTTCAAGGCTGGTAATTACAAAATTGTGGTAGGTTAAAAACAATTACTTAATATCAGACCTTCTGTTTCCTGAAGGGGTGGGCATTCGTGTTTAGAATTTAAAGTAAACCTTCTGTAAGTTTTATTGTAATAGGAGATAGCTTAAAGCAAAGCAAGCACCTTCAGACGGATCTTTGGGGCCACGGGTGCATAGAGTGGGGACTCTAGGTGCGCACCCTGTGGTTTCAGGGACAGTAGACAGCAAGGCTTAAAGGAGACACCCGTCTCCCTAGGGATGTGTCGTAATAGGTGTTGCACCGTGAGAGCTCCAAAGCAAGTCTCTTTTAGAAGACCCGGTGCCTCTTTACAGATGTTGAGGGTGGCCTCCGGAGTGGTTTTAGTGAGGTAAATTTCCCACACTCCCTAGGGGCAGGGGATAAAATATATCCCCAAAAAGCTAGGCACCTTTTCAAGGTTCCCTCCGTCATCAAAAAAAAGCGAGCACCTCATAGACGCTCCTATATTGTTTTAGCGCCGTCATTTCTCTATGAGCGTATCGCGACGCCCCTCTTTAACCTAACGCCCTAGGCACTTGCCTAGTTTATCTTAGGGATAATTCGGCCCGGTCTTATAGTAACTTAATAAGTTACAGTCAAAGTAATGTATCATCTTTGCTTACCACCAGACGAGGTAGGAGATCAACAACCGTTCATAAAAAAAAAATGTAGGGCCTCATTATTGTGGAAGAGCTATTTGGCAAGAATATATTTATAAGTACACTAGCTTTTACCCGCGGCTTCGCTCGCGTCACAAAAGGATAAAAAGCCAATGTGACATGGTATATGTACCAATACATACAGCTCCATCTATACCAATACTTTTGTTTTCCCTCGGGAATATCAATTTTTTCCGGGATATAAAGTACCCTATTATTTAATCCGGACTTCTAACAATATATCTGCAAAAAATCAAAGCAATCGGTTAAGTAGTTATGACGTGAAAGCGGAACAAACAAACAAACTCACTTTCCGATTTATAATATTATAATAAGGATTAAATTGTAATGCCTAGTGACTCGATCCCACAGTCTAACCATTGCAACGGTTTTGTGGGGCTTAAATTAATATACTTACCTGTGTGATTTAAAGATAAGTAAATAATCTTATACTTACTATATAAAGCCGAAGAGTTTGTTTGTTTGTTTAAACGCGCTAATCTCCAAAACCACTGGTCCGATTTCAATAATTCTTTTTTTGTTGGATAGCGCATTTATCGAAAATGACTATAGGCTATAAAACATCACGCTACGATCAATAGGAGCCGAGCAGAGCGGGTGCAACCGCGTGGAAGTAGCTAGTACTACTATTTAACGAAGAAGAGATTTTTTTTTGTTTGTTTGTAACGCGCTAATCTCCGAAACTATCAGTCCGATTTCAATAATTCTTTTAGTGTTGGATAGTCCATTTATCGAGGAAGGTCATAGGCTATAAAACATCACGCTACGATCAATAGGAGCCGAGCAGAGCGGGTGCAACCGCGCGAAAGTAGTCAGTGCGTTGCGTTTCACTGGGGGAGTGAGGTCACCGAAGACCCAATCCCCAATCGTCAAATCTGTAATCAGACCCAAAAACGATACCCAATACAGTCTCAATAACACAAATTAATTATGAGTTCTCAATTATCAATACTTTATTTATTTAATAAATTGCAATTGTTATATACTTACTCATATATTGAGTTCATAGGGCAAGTTATATATAAAAATATAATTATTGTTATCTGTACAACTAGTTATCGGTCGTTCAAAACTCCTGCGCAGACTGACATCGCGTGATCATGTTATATTTAATCTGTGGCTTTAATATATTAAAAAGAATATCACTGTCTTGTTAGTCAGACGTTTTCATCGAACTCGTTTAAATTTTTAAAGTAACATAACTTAACATTACGATTTTTATCCCCAATAGGGTAGGCAGTGATGCACATTACATCACTTAATGCCACTGTACTTTCACTATTTATGTTATGAGTCCCATGTAATAGGGAGTGAGCCTATTGCTATATACCAGGCACCATTCCAGACTTCGTGCTACTACTCAGAATTAAAAAAAACCTTTGCCTAACCCGGGAATCGAACCTGAGCAGTCGCAATTGCGACCACTCGGCCAACGAAGCCCTAAACGAAGACAATTAACAACATTTTGTTATTACCAATCTGTAAGTGACAAGTCGGGTATACGACACCCGCGGGAAGAGTAGCGGTGGTGACTAATGTATTCTATTCAGCCATCATACAAAAGGAAGTAGTTACTTTTTACCGACTTCAAAAAAAGGAGGAGGTACTATGTTCGGCTGATTGTTTTTTTTTGTTTGTTCGCGCAGTACTCCGCCGTTTGTGAACCGATTTCCAAAATTCTTGTTTTGTTTGAAAGGGTATACTCCCGAGATGGTCCCATTTGCATGAAATCAAGATCTGATGATGGGATCCTAGGGAAACCGAGGGGAACTTTCGAAAACTGTAGGGGCGAGCAATGCGTCTATTATGTTTTTCAATTAGTATTTTTAAACACTACAATTTGATAAGGGTCTAGAGTCGACCTGATGATGGAGCTGAGAGACAGTCGAGGGAACTCCTCAGCGGTTTATATTAACTACCTTGTATTTGTGCTTGATTAATTTGTATTGATGAGGACTTTACACCTAGATAGAGTGGGACTGTCATTAAGGGTCTGATGATGAAGAAGTGTAATAGGGTAGACGACAAATTTTTATTTTAATGTCCGCCTGGTAGGTTGTTTAAAAACATTAGACACATATTTTTTATTTTCTTACGGAAACGAATAGTTTCGAAGATATATTGATTTGAAATGTCGCGTGACGTCACTTCTCAGTACATTTTATACTAAGAAATGACGTTTTAGCCCACACTCCTAAACTTTGATTCGTTTTATCTAAGTATTGTTTAATTATACGATAAAATAAAAAAATACGTGTCTAATATTTTTTAATTTACGGACTAATTATATTTTTAATTTTCTTACCCTGTCATCATCCCCTTTGTTAAGGGAACTGTTCAACGATTTATACACTTCTAGACACATCTATTGGCCCACCTTGTATTTTCAGTTTCGTTTGGTCCTAGCGAAAATTTATATTAGGTCGAGCAAAAAGTTTTTATTTATGCAGTTTTGTACCTGGCACATTCATAATTTCATTCAATAGTGTTTTTTGGATTTCGAACTCAGAATTTAAAGAAACAAAAGACAATTTGGAGCGTGTTTGTTGATATCAAACAATCGAATACTAAGAAAACTTGGATTTAATCTTATAATATGTATCAAAATCAAATAAAACAATTTATTTGCATAAAATATGGTAGGCAGGTAATATTTTTACCTACCGCCTACCGGTAATATGCGTACGACATGTCTCGCCATGGACTATGGCGCACAAAATTATTATTAAACAAAATAAATTAATACGAATGAATAATTTTAGGTACTTTATAATCAAATA